AAAAAAAAAAAAAATCAATGAGACCAGCTTTCAAGAATTTTCTTTTGTCTCTGGATCAGTCACACATAATTATGTTGTACAGAAATCAGAGCCTAACCTTTGTTTCAATCTTAGTGCTTTAGTTGTTTTGTTTTGTTTTTTTACTTAAAATATTAGTTATGAATTTTTAAAAAATATTTTTATTTATTTTTAGAGAGAGAGAAAGGGAGCAATAGAAACATTGATCAGCTACCTCCTGCATGCCCCCTACTGGGGATCGAGCCTGCAACCTAGGCATGTGTCCTGACCTGGAATCAAACCTGCAAACTCTTGGTGCATGGGTGGATGCTCAACCAGCGAGCCACACAGGGTGGGCACCAGATATGAATTTTTAAAAATTATTCTTTCCTTTACTCAGGTGAGTTTAAAAACACTCACTTAACAACTTTGTTTTAATTTTATTATCGTTTTTTGTTTGTTTCCTCTTGTTTTTTAAAGAGAGGAAGGAAGAGAAACATTGATCCAGTTGCCTCCCACATGGGCCCCCACTGGGATAGAACCACAACCCCCTGGTGCAAAGATGATGTCCCAATAAGGGGTTCTATACACTGTGGCACATGGTCTAACTTGCCTTTTTTTCTTTTTTTTTTCTATCTCAAAGGACTCATTTTATTAAACCAGGAAATTTCAGCTATCTTGTACTAGACTTAAATGGAAAGAGAGGCATTAATTTGTTGGTGAACTATATTAATTTATATTTTTTGTTGTTAATCCCCACCCAAGGATATTTTTTCCATTGTTTTAGAGAGAATGCAAGGTGTGTGTGTGGGGGGGGAGACACCTCCATTTGTTGTTCCACTTATTCATACATTCATTGGTTGATTCTTATATGTGCCCTGACTGGACCAAACCTGCAACCTTGTCATATGGGGATCATGTTCTAACCAACTGACCTACCCCGCCAGGGCTCTATTAATTTCTTTTTAGGTCCACTAACGCTACAGAATGCCTATGTGAGTCCGTAGCTACTCACTTTCAAAACTAAAACTGCTTTAAATTTGTTCAACGGCCCCTAGCTGGTTTGGCTCCGTGGTTAGAGCATCTGCCTGAGCACTTAAGGATCCCAGGTTTGATCCCAGCCAAGGGCACGGACCTCAGTTGCAGGCTCGGTTGGGGCACATTCGGGAGGCAACCAATTGATGTTTCTCTCTTTCTCCCCCTTGCACTCTCAAACTGAAAAGCAATGGGAAAAATGTCCTCGCGGGGGGATTACAAAATAAAAAATTGTTCAAACAATGGATGGACGAACAAATACAAAAACAGATAATCTCCTTTTGGTTACTGCAGTAACTTCCTAGCTGGATACCCTGCATTAGCTCATGATCTTGGCAAAATTCACATCTTCAAAAGGGAGTCTTATTTCCTTTTCGGCTGAACAAAACTCCTTAACACAGTGTAAGAGTCTGCGTGCCCACCCCCTCCAGCCTCAGTTCCTCATACTTCAGAAGCTCCCTTTTGACACAAGTCTTTCCAACACGTTGTTCTTTCAGTCTGCGAAGTTCTTTCCTTAGCTAACCCCTGGCAGTCCCTCGAGTCTCAGGTCGACCCTCCCTTGCTCGGGCAAGCCTTCCCTCAGGTCCCTAAGCCAAATCCCTCTCAGAGTCCCCTCGCCCTGGGACGAGCGCCGCAGCACTTCCCACCCCTCGAGCGTCCGCGCATTAACACCGCGGGCTCCCCAGGCTCAGGTCACCACGGTCGGGACGGCCCTTCCACCCGGGAGGCGCGCAGTCCACACGCGAAGGACTGACCGAGCCAAGGGACAGTGCTTCCCAACGCGTCAGGGAGTGAAATCAGGGCACACTCTTGCACATGAAAAATGAAACTATCCAGAGCAGGACCTGGTTTCAGAAGGGCTAAACAGAGACATACAAACGTAGGCGCAGCTGTGAAGTGCAGGGAACTCTTTCATTCAACTCCGGGAGATGACAGGTCCGCAGAGAACGACATGAGATGCGGGCGGGGGATTTAAACAACTCCGAGGCCGATTTCCATCAGCGGCGTGGCGGAGAGCCTCCAGCCCGTACTCCGCCGGCAGAGCCGCAGGGTCCGCGAGGCTCCGCTTCCTCCGCCAAAATGCCCCCTTCCGCCCCGCTCGTCCCCTCGGCTCTTCCCCTTCTCCAGCTAGGGGACGATAATTCACACACAATCCGGTTTCAGCATCCGGGTCCTCACCCCCCTTTTCTCCGCTGCAGGCCCCACCCTCCTCCCCATCCGGGTCCCCCCAGCTGCCACCACAGCCGCTCACGGTTCAGCGATGAGATCACAGCTTTCGCGCCGCCGGTACGGGAGTAGCAGTACGCAGCATCAACTCCCCACTTTATAGTTCAAACCTCGGCTCGTCCAGACGCCCACAAGAATCCCTCCCCCTACTCCATTACAGAACTCCCCGCCCTCCTCAGCCGCCAGCGACTCCGCATTATTCACTGCAAGAAAATGCGCCATCCCAGTCACACTGCGCAGGCGTCGTTGCCGCCTCCCCACTGCTTTGTCGCCCCGCCCCTTCCCCCTCCCCATCTCTGCCTCACGCAGGCGCGAGGCGCTGTGGGTCTTGCAGTTCTCGCGGGCAAGGGTTTGCACACTGGCATCACGGGTAGGACTACATTTCCCGGGAAGCTTTGAGGAATAACTTTGTTTCCATAGAACTGGTGGGAAAATGGCGTCGTTGTTTGTATCCCGGGGACCAATAAGAACAGGGTATAGGCGGGTTCTAAAAAACCCTAGCCAATCCGAGGTCGTCTAAGAGGCCATCCGGGGAAGCAGCCTGGACGGGGGCAGAGCGGAGGGAACGGGAGGGGGACTCGGGGCGGAGGGGAGCGATGTTTGCCCGTCAGTCGAGTTCGGAGTGAGGAGCTTGGGCGCCGGAGCGGAGGAGACTCTCGAGCTTAGCTTGCTGCCGCCACGGCCACCGCCTGGACCTTTGCCCGGAGGGTGCCGCAGAGGGTCTGTGGCCGCCGTCCTCTGGAGGGCAGCGCGACGGGGGCCCGGACTCAGTCCGGGAGGATTTTTCGTCGTCCCCCTCCCCCCAGCGAGGGAACCCGAGCGGCCGCCAAACAAAGGTACCAGTCGCCGCCGCGGGAGGAGGAGGAGCCGCAGCTTCAGCCTCGGCTCCGCTGGACCCGCCGCGCTTCTCCCCATCTCTCCCCCGGGCCTGTCGGTTTTGGGGGGGAGCCGGGGAGGGGACTCTGCACGCGCCGGGGTCGGCGCTCGCCTCCGAGGAAGGTAGGGCATTTTTGAGGCTTTCGCGGGCTCGTCAGGGGCCCTTTAGGGAGTCCCTGGGCCCGGCCGACGAACGGGGAGAGGATCGCCGCGGTGGGCTCGCCGGGCGCCGGAATTCGGGGCCTCTGCTTGCGAAGCCCCCGCCCCTTGCGTCGCCCCAGTCGGGCGGCCGAGCTCGGGTTTGGCAAGGGCCGCGGTGGGGGCCCGGCGAGCGCGGGGGCCGTGCAGCCTCCCTGCCGTCTCCTCAGCGTCCCCTATCCCCGCGGCCGGCCCGCGGGGTCCGCTTGTCTTGTCTGGTCGGCCCCCGTCTCGGAACGGGACGTGGTCAGTGGCCCCGGGGGTCGGTCCTGCCACGGCTCGCAGGGCCCTCGAGGCCGCTGCCTCTCGGACGCGGGGTGCGCCGAGGCCCGGCCGGACCCGGCTTGTTGTGAGTTTCTTCTCTGACAGAAATGGCGTCATTGTCGGAGACGGGAAACTCCGTCGGGTCCCGACAATGGAGACGCTAAGCTGCCTGGCTGTGTGGGTGGTGGGGTGTGCGGGGTGGCGAGGCCAGAGCGAGCCCCGCATCGGCGGCTCCCGGTTCGACGGTTTTTCTCAGCTTCTCCGCCTCCGCCCGTGCAGGGGGTGCCTGTGGTGGTGACTGGGTGTCTTTTGTTTCCCCTCCAGGTGCAGGTGAAGCTGGTGTTTTTGAGAGCACCGCGGTCCCGGAGTCGTCATGAAGGTAAGATTGCCTGCGGAAAACGAACCTCGGGGCTTGTAGAATTCAGGAAGTAGGGGGGTTGGATGGAAGCCGTGTGTGGGGCCTCCGAGTGCTGTGCTTGGGGGCTGGGTTTCGAGCTCTTCCCGGGGAGACGAGGGGTCAGTGGTGTGGATGTATGTGCGCTGTGCTGTGGAGTTGGAGCCAGTTTCGGGATATCGCACCGAGGATGGTTGCCCCATATACAGAACGACTCTTTTGGCCGGAAATGAGAGGAATAACTGCATGCATTAGAGTGTTTTAAAAGGTAAAACGACAAAAGCAGGTCAAGTAATCTGATTCTAGAACCTGAACTGTGTTGTGGTTCTATCGGTTACACTGATGAAAGAAAACCCCTTTTATTGTGTTAACAGCACTTGAATTTTTAGCAGACCTATTTGATAAGCCACGAAAATAATCTTGATGGAAAGATTTGTAGAGAGAATTTTGACGGTCTTTGGACAACTCAGAGATGGCTGTTGTTCCTTGTATATCCAGGGATTTAGGATTATTTGGTTTCTTTTTCTTTGATCTATATGTGGTCTGGGAATTGTGAGATGCGGCATTGCTTTGTGATAAAACTGATGTGGAAAACCAATGGCCAGATTCCTCTTAAATGGAAACGTGTTAACTGAATGAAGTATGTTGTCCAAAAAGTGCAATTTGCTTAATTGATGGAAGAAATCATAGCAATAAAAGTACAGGCTGTTTGTTCACTTTAGAGAGTACATAATTGAATGCTGTGATATTTTTAAAGCATTCTAGAATAAAAGCCTTAGATACCTGAAATGTCTAGATTCAACTGGTGGAACTTAGAGGCTAGCAGATATTTTTCATCCATCCCAAATTCAGAAGTGCTTGTAAAGGGGTTAGATTGTGTTCACAAGTACAGAATGCAACAAATAGTATGTTAAAATGTAAACCTCATCTACTTGTGACAGTTCCTCTGAACTATTTTTATTTAAACAAATTTACTTCCACTTTTTTCAGAGTCAAGATGGCTTTTATACTACTGCATCCAAATTAAAACTTGTAATGCTAATGTTTATGGGAGAAAGGAAGAGCTATGGCTACTTAAATATTTATCAGCTATGCAAAGTAATTAAGTTCAGTTATTTTTTACGTTATTTTTTCTTGAGTTTGGGGTGCTCTAAAGTACTTAAAATGTTTATGTTTGCTGAATTCCCATCTTACCTTTATGTAAACAGAAAAACAATCAGTGATCTTTCAGAAAAGAATCCCTTTTTGTTAGTCACAGATGTGACTAACTCCTGTGACCTGTGTAAAACAGTGACCAGTGAGTTTGTTAGGAAAAATATATACCTCGATTGGTGTTAGACAGGAATTTCTTAAGAAAAGTGTTGGGTTGAATAATATGTAATAGACTCAGAAGCTGAATAATACAGAATTTCATTCGGAATAAATGTAATTTGTCACAATTCCCAATGTGGTGCCTGGCCTGTCTTGGGAACTCTGTTAATGTTTGGATAAAAGAAATGTAATAAGTTGAAGGTCTTTTAGATTTAAATTTTTTTTTCCTTTTCTTTCTTTCATTTACCTTCCTTCCGTCCTTCCTTTGCTTCCTTTCCTTCTTTCCTTCTTTCCCCCCAATGTGTCTGTTTAAAAAAAATGAAAGTACATTGGAAACTTTAACCCTAAAAGTTTCATAGTAAGTGTTAGGCAAGTGCAGATTTCTGGGTATCATTTTAAAACTACTAATTTAAAATGCTCACCATTTCCATTATTGCTGCCATTAAGAAAAGGTATTAGTAATGTTAAAGGGAGTTATTAAAATACACTTATAATTGTATACAAGAATTTCCTGTTACTATTTAGTAAGTATTTTCTTAGGGAACCTACTAGTAATCACTAGTACTAAAAAGTTATTTCTTACAACTTAATTTCTTGTGTGGTGAAAGTTGAAAGGTGCCCATGATTGGTGTTTTACTTTAAAAAAATTGCAATTCAAAAAGTATTTAGTATTGATCATATTGGGCTTACTTTTTTTTTTCATGTTCCCAATTTCTATATTGTAATGACAGCAGAGCGATAGAGTGATTTATGCCATTTATTAGATCTTACTGAACATATTTATACTTTGATATAAGGAGGTGGGTGGAGGAGTGCATAAATGGTGATGGAAGAAGACTTAACTTGAGGTGGTGAATACAATATAGTGTATGGATGATATGGAATTGTGCACCTGAAACCTGTATAATTTTGTTAACCAGTGTCACCCCCAATAAATTCAATAAAAAGGAAAAAATCACTATAGTTATGCTTCTGAGAGTAATGATGCATAAAATTTTGTTAACTGATTTTTAAATAACACTTGTGAATAAAGCATGATAATTTTTTAAAAATGAAGTAAGCTTTTAAGTTTGTTATGTCCTATTAGTCACAAAATTTTAAAAAATGTTTTTGACATTGTATTGAGGTAAAAGTGTTTAGTAATGCTCTTTTGGTGGTTGCTTTAAATCCCAAAATAATTACAACATATATGTTATTTTAAGTGTTATATGTTTCATTTATTTATATTCTTAAAAATATGTTTTTATTAACTAGAGAGAGAGAGGAAGGGAGAGGGAAAGAGAGATAGAAATATCCATTGGCTGCCTTCTGCACCCCCCCCCCC